CCCCCCCCCCAAAAAAAAAAGAAAAAAGGAATTTGATGAAAAAAAGAGACTTAGCAGAAGCAGATCGAAACAGTCGAAGTTCAAAGCAATGAATACCGATGGCAATAAGAGTTTAGCATAATGCAAACAGGGTTTCGGCGGAAACAGGACCCAATCAGGCAAAATTCCATGCCATTACAGTAAAATCCACTTACAGCGAGACAAAGGGGCGGAGATCTTATAAATGTTACTATTAGCAGAGTCCAACACCAAAATCTCCCCGCTCGGCGACACTTCAACCGAGTACGGCTCCATTCCGAGCTTACTACCATCAAAAACCGTCTCGACAGTGTATCCACTTTCAAACTTCATCATCGGACGGCCAGAAATCGCTGAAATACCAGAACACATCAATTCCCATCATTGTAGAGAACAATGTCCAGCTGGAAAACAAAAGGGTGGAACCAAAAACCCCAACACATTCTGAATAAATCAAAGACAATGCGGGTTATGTATAAGATCTTTACCTGTTTTGGTGTTAGTCTGTAGTGACCACAACCATTTCAGAAGAGCAGAGACTGCATTGGAGAAAAACCCAGTAACAATTTCTGCAAAATAAGAAAGAGATACATGTCTATTTCATAGGAAACACTAAATCTGAAAAAAAAATTCGAAGAGCTAGTAAGCTTATACTCACTAGCAGGATCGGTAGCTGCTGAAGCTGAGGAGAAACCACTCAATAAGACCATAAAAATGAGAAGGAAAGCAAACCCATGTTTCCCCATTACTCTTATGCTGGAGAGATCTAAAGATTAAAAAGAAGCTGCTCAAATAAGAAGATTCGAGCTCTGCATTCTTTCGGAAACCCTACGAGCTCAAGTGGATGAGAATGAGGAAAAACAGAAGGTAATAACTGTGCTCCCTTGGCTTTTGTAATGCCTGAGACCTTTACCAGTAGAAAGTTAGGAGAAGAGATGAAAGAGACAAAGAGGGTTTTGTGTATTATAATGGAGGCATTAATAGTTTACAGAGAGGTCCCCTCTGTTTAAACAGGGTTTAAGAAAAAGCAAGAAAAAGAAGAAAAGAGAGATGGGTCAGGGCGTGCGCGAATGTGTGGACACGCAGTGTAAGGGAATCATATGCTCTGCTTATGTCTCAACACAGTTTAGTTTATTTTAGCTTTTAATTAATAAACCACTCGCTAGTCGCTAATAGCCCACATTCGGGGGCCAGTGAGTCTCCCTCTCCATTCTTCACTCTTCAGATTTATCTCTCCGAGAAGCAACTTTGGACCATTTTGAAATGAAAATATACAAGCAGGAGAAAACAGCAAAAAGCAGGGAATTCGCACAATCTGGTGATGTCACAAATGTCCATGAGTAGTAGTTTCGTTACTTTGGAGCCTTCTTTCCAAGTGGATCCAAAATAACTTTTTTTATTTGTTTTTAAACCTTTTTTTTTTTTTTCCTGAGCCTATCTCAATTTTCCTGTCTTCTGCTTCTGTTCTCTGTCAGCAATGTTTTTTGTTCGCACCATCTTGGTTCTGGGTCTAGACATTATTGTATTATGAATCCCAGAACGGTCTGGGACTGGAAGTCTTAGCGGCCACGTGCCATATCTTAAGAAAATCTGGACCTACCCTTCAACCATCTCATCTAAGCGGTTTAATTGGACCAGAAATCTGTTTGGACTTTGGTAGATACCTGTACTCTCATTTGGATGGTGAAAAAAAAAAGTTCTCTGAATCTATCTATAATCTATCTCTTCTTTACCCAAAAAAAAATGTCTATCTATCAAAACTTAGAGCTCTCAATATGATATAGAAATTAGACGGCTAAGACTTGTATAATTATATTTTGCTGTTGTTTTTAGAATAAGTAATCTCATAGGCGGGTCCATCCTCAGATTGGTTATCATTCTCTCAATTTGGACATCTAGCAAGGCCGAGTGGTGTATTATGGGGCCCCACATGTCCAAAGGCCCATGTGTTTTTCATAAATCTAATATGGAATTTGGTAGGTATATATACATTTAGGTATTGAAGTATATCCATTGGAGTCTGGACTCTGGAGTGGAGAAAAAATAATAATCTAAGGAAGAGCGAGCCACAATCCCAGAATGGGGGATTCAAATCTAGCCCAGCTGAAATAAAAAGGAGTGACTAACTCGATTCAGAGGAATTTCCTTTTGGTACTTTGGCCTATTTATCTTTTGACCATCTAAATGAGTGCCACCATAGTGTAATTCTTACGACAACCCGTCAATCTTCAATTTATATATATTTTTTCATCCTTTTGTTGGATGGGTTGGAGGCACCGGAAAGAGTCCCCAGTGAAGGGATAGAATTCAATCTTATTTTATCAGTCTCTAGATTTTGATTTTACTACCGATATGTAAGAGACCATCTGTAGTTCAGAATTTTTTATTGAGAGGATGGGTATTGATTAGTGACTTTGTGGTCTCCCAAAAAAAGAAAAGAAGAGAACATTCTCTCCTTTGGGAATGTTGAACTTCTTCCTCAATCACAAGTTAGTCTCAGCTTTGCTTATTAAAAAAACAAAGTTAAACCTCAGCTTTGGAATGAAAGAAACCATATTTAGAATAAGGTCTGATTCATGCAAATCTGGTCAGCTGGTCTCCGGTTGGTCGGTTCATGGAAAAAAGAACCAGCCAAATCTGATCCATAAAATGAGTTGAACCCAGCGTCTTTGGTAGCCAAGGTTCCTAGTTTTCGAGTTTGTCGACTCTACTTTACAGGCTGTTCTGCTTTTCATTCATAAATCATAAATTCATAACTATGAACCGGAAAATCAAACAAAATTGGTGTGGCTTCAGGTTTAGCTGTCACAAATCACAAATGTTGAGATTCTATTTGCAACGTTCTAAACAATAAGAAATGTTCTCAGAGAGAAGCCCGATTTTGTTCGGACGTTGTAGAGATTTCCTTATCACAGACACAGATAACTTAATTTCTTACCTTATGGATGGATTAATGAACGTAGTGCAGGCAATATCTAAATGAAATATGTGATGTGATACCCAATTGCCCATAGCTTCTCTTGGTTCAAAATGTATACAAGTCACATGAATTTGTCTTTATTCCTTTACAGCTTTCATAGCTAATGGATGCAATTTCTGGCCCAACACAACCCTTATAATTCATCAAAACCCTACCTATCTTACTAAGGCGGATTGTACGTGGGTTTACAATCAATTTGGGCTGATTTTCTTTTTCTTTTTCTTTTTCTTTTTTAATAAGTGAAATTAGGCTTGAATTTGGTATCCATTCCATCACTTTGCAACTTAGAATTGGGCTCCTTGTAGATCAGAACTGCTTTGTGTTTTTCACTCAGCTCATTAGTCATTAACAGCAGAAGACAAACTATCCGTCCAGCCTCCAGCACATCAACTCATCAGTTAGCGTAACATCCTTTCCTGAATACAGCTCCCCATGTAACGCCTCTTTAGTTGGTAACGCCTCTTTAGTTGGTAACCTGTACTTTGGTTTGAGTGATAATTTGGTCCTTAAACTTTAAAATACAATAATCCAGTATTCGAATTTTTCAAATATGACAATCCATTACCTGTCGTTAACCGGTCGTTAATCAGCCGTTAAGTGACATTTGAAAAGTCAAAAATGACCTAAGAATGCAATCTAATTCTCTTTATCAAGCATCCAAACATTGACAATAAAATAAACAGTCCCAAATTTTAAATTCTTCTAAATAGTCACAACTTTTTTGAATAGAAGAGGTTAGGATTTGGGACTGTTCAGTTTTTTTGTCAATGCTTGGATGCTCATAAAGAGAATTAGATGCCATTCCAAGGGTATTTTTAACTTTTCAAATATCACTTAACGGCTGATTAACGGACTAGTTAACGACAGGTATTAGATTGTCACGTTTTAAAAGTTTGGGTACTAGATTGTCACATTTTGAAAGTTTGTGTACTGGATTGTTGCATTTTAAAGTTTGGGGACCAAATTGTCACTCGAGCCAAAGTACAGGGTACTGATCGGGAATTTTCCCTTAACCAAATCCCCTCTTTTGTTCTTCTATCCATATCTATCTATCTATTAATTGGACCTTTCCAAGACTAGATAGAATAAAGAAAGCAGGAAGGCAAATATGTTGAGGATCAAAGTAGGTGATGTATGTGCTATTGTGGTGGAAATCCGGTCATGGGTTCCGTGAGATCTCGTTTGAGATTCAAATCTATATGCCATTGCACTGGCCGAAATGTCTGTCTTTGTTTTGGGCAGACCACGGAGGACTGGTAACATTCTGGCAGTGTTCTCACGGTTTGATCCTTGCATCTAGTTAGCAACTGTTTTTGTGTTCACTTGTGCAATCCAAGCACCCAGGAAGTTGTGGAGGACCTTCCTCACACCAGTCAAATTAGAAGAAAGAGATCTTAGGATCTGTTTGGTTCGTAGTTGGAATCGGAATGGTCCACTCCCATGGTTCGTATGGTTCAGACTGGAATGGGAATGGAAATGAGAATCAGAAGGAATGGAATTTCATTCCCAAGGGAGGGGGGAAGGGGGGCGCAACAAATGGTTATTCCCTCAAATGGGGGAATGCCATTCCCGCAGGAATGGGAATGGTATTCTGATTCCACCCAACCAAACGGTTGAAATCGGAATAGCCCATTTTGATTTCATTTCCAAACCCCTATTCCCACGAACCAAACAAGGCCTTAAAGATGGTATTCTTTGTACATCAAGGGAAGTTCCCAAAACAGGGAGCTATTACGCGTGCATGAGTGTAGGATTTACACAAAAGAGATAAACACCATTTACAAGTCAAGGATATATCAATCCATTGCGCTTCTCATTTCTTTACAAGACTCTCTACACTACTCAAATTAATGTGAATCCCAACAATCTTGAAATCGATGTGATGTTGAACATTTGTTCTTACCACCTTCTCATGCCTGTCATGGAAGATTTGTGGACAAAATGTGAGTGAGGACTTTAATCTACCATTGATATCAAGCAATTCAAGTTCCACTTCCAATACCATCAATTATTCTTTCTATCTTTTTGTTCTAGATCTTCATGGAGAACAATCAAAGAAATACCACTAATAGTGTGCGATCTGACGCTCCCTGATGGCAGTTAGTTTAGATGTTGAACTGAGTAGGTCACCTAATTAATCTACAAAGAAAGAGATCAAAGTGTTTGAGTTGCTTTACCCGGGATGGGCACTCCAATGCTTAAGTTAGCGAATAGTTTTAAGAGAGCTAGAGAGTTGTGAATGCTAAATAGTGCATACCTTTTTTGTGAATGGGGATGCCTTTATATAGACTAGTTGCCATGAGGCTCACGAAGCACATCTGAGATCTTCGGCTCATTTGGTTCAAAGGTGGTTTCATGCCGATAGATGGACTCCGTGTAATCGGGTAGTGTCTATCCAGTCGCGTCCGAAGCTGGTGGGGTGATAACCGGCTCTTCCAATGTGATGTCGTGATCCCGAGGAAGTCGGAGATGCTAACCCGCTAAATGAGGAGGTTGCCCGACACATTAGGCAGGTCACTAGATGAACTCGGGCCAGGTCACCTCTTACACCGACCTGAAGTCTTGTTGGGCTGTTCACAGTTCGGTCTATCGAGGTGGTGCTGAGGTCATCAAGGCGGGTGCGAGGTGTTCGAGGCACTCCCGAGGTCTTCATACGTGGTGCTGAGATGTCGTATGATTATTTTGAGGTGCCACGCGTCATCACGTCACTGGAGGGCCAAATCGCCCTTCATCAATTGCCTCCACTCCCGAAATGAGGTCAGTTCGGTGAAGGGAGTGGCTCACTGTGGGTCCTTGACCCGGAATGACTAGTTTGATTAGTTCGTAGGTATCAGTCTGTTCGATCAGTTCGTAGGTATTAGTCTAGTTTGCTCCCCTAGTCGGATGAGTCTAAGGGTTGAATGCAACATTACGCAGGACTTCACCATCTTGATTATCGAAGCACAGGAGCAAACTCATCTGTTCAAGGAGAGGTAGAGTAAGCACTCCGAGGACATCTATCGTATTAGGGATGTAACCGTCAAGGAGTTCTACAATTCGGCCAAACACCTCAGGAGCGAGTTTGTCATGTCGTCCTCAAAAGGGGCTTCAAGCTACACGACTGCCTCCT